CCTGGCCCAGTCAGTTGTGGCAGTCCCTGCAGCTACACGTCATGAAGAGGAGGGCTATGCCCTAGCCTCCAGCGGTGCATTGGCAGATTTGCAGGTGCTTGAGCAAACTCCACCAACTGGCTTCACACAAAGCATCCACACAACACCAGTCTTTACCCACATAAGCCAAACTGTGCAATTGTTTTTTAAGCCTGCAGTGCATGCATTGAACACCCAAAAAGCGAACAAAAAAAGTGCATTTGAACACACACAAAAAAGTGCACACAGGGTGTGACTAGTGGTCTGTCTCCCGAAGAGACAGGGCCCTTCCCTGATCCCCCAGGATGCAAGTCTTCTGACAGGAGCAAGGCACTCGTGTCCACCTGGCCAAAACCAGGTGGACCCATTCCTCATGGCCGGCCGAAAGCAACCACCGAGTACTAGGTTGGGGGCTCCCCCGAAGGGAGACCCCCAATTCAGGGGAGGAAGGAACCTAAGGGCCACACATCGTCCCCATAGACTTCAGGGTGGGCCCAAAGACCCACACCCTCCATTCTGTGGCGTGAAAAACACAGAAAAAAGGTGAAGTGTACATACTGTTTAATGTTTCAGGAGCAATGGTCTCCAAGCATGTGACTTCATACACAAAGCATGGCAAGGCCAAAGAAAGAGAGCATACCACCCAACTTACTGAGATGACTAAGAGGGACACCTTCCAGCACAATGTATTTAGGCAATGGACACACCCCCTGCCATGCCCCGACCTATCTGAACCATTAAGAATTTTTTAACTATAATAAACTTTTAAAAGATAATGAAGAGATAAGATGAAGGTTTTAGTACAAAATAACACTTTTGGTAGTTAAATAGAACCTTTTCATTGATATCTGTACATCAGACCAAAAGGAGGAACAACTGAGGAGGAAAGAGGGAAGGGGGGAATAGGTTGCAAATGAGCATGCATTTCTCTCTCTCTTTCTCTCTCTCTCTCTCTCTTTCTCTCTTTTTCTCTCTCTCTCTCTCTCATGTGCAACAATGTATAAATGTACTCTCTATATTGATACCTTTTTATTGATAGAAGACCAAAAAGGACAACTGAGGAAGAAAGAGGGGCCAAGGGATTTGGTTCCAAATGAGGGACAGTGACTGCAAATGAGCATGCCCCTCTCTCTCTATGTATTTATGTTCTATATATTCTGTATAAATGTGTGTGTGTGTGTATATATATCATAGTTTCCAACTGTTATATGACACACGGCAGCATTTTCCGAGTCTGTCAGTATCTGATGCTTTAATTAGAAGAAGGATCATATGGTTGAGCAGGCGTAGAAAGGCCATTCTCAGAGCTGGTGACAATGAGGTGGCACACACATCTTAAAGCACAACATAATAACATAAAGCCAGGTCTTTGCAGTGGGGATTTTGGAGTGGAATCACACACTGCACCAGGCTCATTACTCAGGATTGATGTTCTAGGACTCGGTGTGTTTTATGAACGCAGAGCTCTGGAAATCCTTGTCAGGAACAGGCAGTTCGGTCTATCTACAAACGCCGGTGGGAGGGGATCCCGCAGTCGTGCCAATCACAATCACTACATTTCTATTTCTGGGAAGGGGTCTTGGAGGCGCTGAAAGAATGCGAGCGCTCATAATAATGCACCGATTATTCTAATTACTAGCCTATATAATTGTATAATTGGAAGCTGCCATTCTTCCTTGCTGACGGTGAACAAAGTTATGAAATTCACACAGCTCTGCATTGTAATATTTTATGGTTTAATGTTTTATTACAAATAGATCCCGTAGGGTTTTTGATGACTATTAACTGTTAGCGGACTAGAGAAGTAGCAGTTAAGAGAGAAGGTAGCTCATTAGTCTCAATGGTTACATATCTACCATGGAGTAGGGCCAGCCAAAGGGAGCAATCAAATGCTGCATCATGCATGGCCATGCACTTCAGGCAATGCAGCCTGGAGCTTGTGTGGATTGATTTTTTGTACTAGGAACGGAGACCTCCAATTCCCCAGGGCAAAACAAAAAGTAAATCTCTGCAATATGCACACTTGCACATCTTTGATCCCTTTGAAGACCCTGCAAGTACAGAAAAATACCTGTTGATCTGCTAGAAATGCACTCAGTCCCCATTTCTCCCTTGTGAAATGACACCACATGCCTTTTTGCGGTCTGATATTTCAAGACATGGTGTCAGCCCTGCCCAGTTTTGTTAAACAACTAGATCACACCCATCTCCACATCATAGGAACTTCATTGTTTTTTTACTGCATGATAATAACTTGAACGACTCCTAACCTTTTGATTGCACCACTTACTAGTTTTTATATTAATTTTGTAAAGGGGAATATTTTATGTATTTTATTTAGAATATTGATTGGCCCTTTTAAAGCATAGTTAGGAAGTTTTTATGGTTTTTAATGCTGCCCTTATCATTAATTAATTTACTTAAAGTGACATTAAACCCTTAGATTTTTTAACATAAACCAATACTGTAATGCGTACCTTACTGTAATCCATGGTTGTTTCCCTTCTCTTTGCAGCTCTTCCTTTTAAATCTGTATCTATTCTCATGAAGGGGAGAACTTCCCTTTGCAGCTGAGTGCCTCTTCCTGTAGTGCTGGCTCAGGTTGTGAACCTACACACAGACATCATGTATCCATTTCAGAGACAAGGCAGTCTGCTGCAAAAACAGAAGTTCTGCCCAGCATGAGACGAGATAAGGATTTAAAAGGAAGAGCAGCAAAGAGAAGGGAAACAACCATGGATTACAGTAAGGCACACATTACAGTATTGGTTTATGTTAAAAAATTTGAGGGTTTAATGTCACTTTAAAGGGTTATTAAACCCTAATTTTTTTGCATATATCTACGGCGAGCAAGCAGTAGATATATGCAAAACGATAAACAAAAAAAGAACTTTTTGAAAGGGTTAATACTTACCTTGTGTCTCCACCGCGCACTCCCATCCAAACATCTGAAAATGTATTCGGCGGCCGCAAAGGATCTTGGGGCGGGCTCATGCTCAGTTCAGATGTTTGGCCGGGAGACGAGTAGAGACACAAGGTAAGTATATGGAGCACTGCGCACCAGCACAGACTCTGTGGGACATCAGAGAAGAGGAGGGCGGAGGAGTCAGCGGTGGATCGGAGGCCCGCACCAGACCTGGAGGGACAGCTTAAAGCTAGAGGAAAGAAGATGATGATCGGATTAAGGTAAGTCCCTACTTTAGCACTCCGGGCTGGACTTTAGCCTTTAATGTCACTTTAAGGTTTTTAACACTAGAGTGCTAGTTGTCTTTTTATTATAGGTTATATTATATATTAGGGAGGAAGCCTTTATAGCTAATAACAGAGGAAGTGTCCACAGGACACAATTCGGCTCTGAATTTCTGACATCATCAACAGGTATTTTATTAATTTGCACTTAAAGAACAGAGATAACAAAATACCTTTATTGGTATATTTACCCAAGAAAAAGGGAGGAAACAAGAGCTGTCCATTATTAGGGTTTACATACACTTTGAGCAATGAGTGACCTTCGTTTAACGACAGTGACCCAAGTCAGCCTGAAGCTGAGGTGCTCAGTAACCAAGGTTCCTATTGGTCATAGACTGGTGCTCTCCCACACTCCTCTTGAATCCCTTAATTCACGATGGTCTACTCTGCTGATATAGGGGGTTTTAAGCATGGCCCCTAACATCACCAAGGGGCCGCACATAATATTCAGTGAATGAAATGCTACATTAACCTTTCAGAGACTGCTGACATTTGCAACAGCAGATAGTTGAAGACTACAGGCATACTACAAGAGATAGTGGGGGACTGTAGACATGCTACAGGAGATGGTCAGAGAATGTGGACATGCTATAGGAGATGGTCATAGACTACATACATACTACAGGAGATGGTCAGTGACTACAGAAATGCAACAGGAGCTGGTCAGAGACTACTGGCATGCTACAAGAGATGGTCAGTGACTACAGAAATGCTACAGGAGATGGTCAGAGACTGTGGGCATGCTACAGGAGATGGTTAAAAGACTGTGGACATGCTACAGTAGATGGTCAGAGAGAGTGGAGATGCTACAGGAGATAACAAGAGACTGTGGAGATGCCCTAGGAGATGGTCAGAGACTGTGAGCATGCTACAGGAGATGGTCAGAGACTGCAGATATGCTAAAGGAAATGGTCAGAGACTGTGGACATGCTACAGTAGATGGTCCGAGACTGTGGAGATGCTCTAGGAGATGATCAGATGGTCAGAGACTGTGGGCATGCTACAGGAGATGGTCAGAGACTGTGGAGATGCTACAGGAGTTAACCAGAGCCTGTGGAGATGCTACAGGAGATGGTCAGAGACTGTGGAGATGCTGCAGGAGATAGTCAGAGACTGTGGAGATGCTACAGGAGATGGTCAGAGACTGTGGAGATGCTGCAGGAGATAGTCAGAGACTGTGGAGATGCTACAGGAGATAGTCAGAGACTGCAGTGTAAGTCCTGGTTCACACCTAGGCGTATTGCATATGCCCGTCTGTCCACGATTTGCGGTAAAAAAAGCGCGCGACACACGCACGTTTCCGAGGGCTACTTGGCTGTATCCCAATGGAAACGCGCTACAAAACGGCCCAAAGTAGTACATGTACCTTTTCAGGCGTGGGCCGTTTTGTAGCGCGTTAGGGATGGGCGGAAATACGCCAAGGTGGGAACGAGACCATTGACTACAATGGGATTTATATTTTTTAGCGTTTTGTAGAGCGTTCGTCGAGCGTAGAACGCGCTACAAAACGTTCAGGTGTGAACGAGGCCTAAGAGTGATGTAAAAAGGAAAGGTTCACTTTAAGGGGATGATTTATCCATCTTCCGCCCAGCATATAGCTGGATAAATGCCATCAGCTCCATGGATTGGGGGTATGGCCATGTGAGCTACCCCATAATCATCCCCATAGTGTAAGTTATAAGTGGCATACAGTATATTGCTTAATCTATCGCTTGAAAAGGATGGCCACTCACCAGGATTTTCCGCTTTCCTCATCTGCTTAGACTGTGGCTCTTCAGTATCCCATGGCGTGGACTGGTTGATTGGAGTCTGCCCCCACCTCACACTGGTAGCCAGCAGCTGACCTTGTGTTTGTTTCTCGGCCTTGGAAAGCAGAGGGGTCTGCAAAAAAAAAAATATATATTTAGATATATGGATCAAGGGCTGTGTATTTTTTTCTTCTTAAAGGTAAAGTACAGTGTAATTCCAGGGAGCGCATATTTCTACTTACGAGGGATGAAGTAATCTATCATAACCATAATATACATGTCATGGGACTTTCAAGGTATCTCATTATCAAAGTAACTTACAGTAAATTGTGTAAAAAGTTCAGACTTATTTTTCATTACATAAAATCCTTTACATGTTTTTCTTTGTTGCCTTTACAACTGAATCATTAATTGGCATAGCCTCCAATTATCTTATAACCTCCTACTTGAGATGTTCATTCATGTCTCATTGTTGGTATCACATAAGCAATTATAGTTTAATTTTCCAGCTAATACTTGCGGAGTGATGAGACCTCCTCTAAAACCTCGCTAAACAACTTTGAAGTTATGCAAGAAACCACAGTGGAGTAGTGGTTAGCACTTCTGCATTGCAGCACTCAGGGATCCTGGTTCATATCCTGGTTGGGACAATATCTGCAAGGAGTTTGTATGTTCTCCCTGTGCTTGCATGGATTTTCCTCCAGGTACTACGATTTCCTCACACACTCTGAAGACATGCTGGAAGGTTAATTGGCTCTTCTCTAAATTGTGAGATAGGAACCATAGACTGTAAGCTCCTTGAGGGCAGATACTGATGTGAATGTTCTCTATGTAAACGGCTGCATATATTTTAGGTGCTATATAAATACCTGTAAATAAATAAGGAATCAGCTATATGGTGGGCACTGGTGTCCTCTGTTCAAATCTCAACCAGAACACTACCTTCATGGAGTTTGCATGTTCCCCCCTGTGCTTGCGAAGGTTTCCTCCCACACAGGTTAATTGGTTCGGGTCTAAACTGGTCCCAGTATGCGTGTGGGATAGTATTATCTTGCACTTTGGCACTTATTTATTTTTCTCTCACTTTTTATATGTGTCTTTTTCACTCCATAGGTCAGGGGCGCCCACAATTTTTTGTCTGGAGATCTACTTTTCAAATGTCGAGCTCAATGAGATCTACCAACGAAAAAACACCTGCGTTCAGGGGCAGGAGTGGGCGTGGCAGTGCATTGAAGTCAATGGCACTGCAGCCAGGCCCCTCACCCACATAAGTGCCAGCGTTCCGGTCCGGTGCGATCTGCAAATATGCTTCAAGCACTATTTTTGCAGATCATACTGGACTGGAATGCAGGCACTAATGTGGTGCGGGGTGTGGGCGATTAAACTGTGGGTGGGGGACATGGCTGCGGTGCAACCCCACGCCACCTCCCGCCCCTGAACGCATTCCAGTGCGTTCTAGAGGCGTGGGCGGGTGACGGAGCCGCTGTAACAGCAGCATGTGCAGTGAGGAGAGAGAGAGCCGCCGGATGTCAGATCCAAGCCGAGCGGCTCTCTCTCTCCTCACCGCTCGGCGTGCTGCTGTGATACCGCCTCCTTCACACCGCTGCCAACTGCAGCTTCACTTTTCCTCAGATCCCCGCTGCATACAGATGGGGGAGAGCAGCGGGGATCCAGAGAAGACAGGACATCGCGATCTACCAGTGATCGCTGTGCGATCATTGGTAGATCGCGATCGACCTTATGGGCACCCCTGCCATAGGGTGTAGGGTGTGGGCCCCTGAAGTCTAGGGGGAGGATGTGTGGCCATTAGGTTCCTTCTTCCCCTAAACTGGGGCTCTTACTTGGGGAGAGCCCCCAACCTGGTACTTGGTAGTCGGCATAGGCTGACCATGAGGAATGGGTTCACTTGGTTTCAGCCAGGTGGACACAAGTGCCTTGCCCCTGTCAGGAGAATTCCCCCCCCATGGGGGGGGTCAGGGAAGGGCCCTATCTCTTTGGAAGATGGACCAGTTGACACACCCTAGTGCACTTTTTTTGAATGTGTTCTTTTTTTGTTCACTATGATATTTTGTAGGGATGCACCGATATGGGTTTTACGGTATCGAGTACGAGTACCAATATTTTTTTTATATACCAAATACCAATACAGGAAGTTCCATTTAGGAAGCTGGGCTGCGTGTAATGACCCGCCGCCCGACTTCCTGATAAACTGGGAAGCTGTCTCCATGCTCCCTCGTCATCAGGTGTCGAGGAAGCATGGAGCCAGCTTTCTGGCCAATCAGGAAGCCGGGGGGCGGGTAACGACTCGCCGCCCCGCTTCCTGCCCAATCTGGAAGCCAGGCGGTAAGCCTGCTGATTGGCTAGGAAGCCGGCTCCATGCTTCCTCATCACCTGGTAATATTACAAAAATCTCTACAAAGGGACACAGACTACAAAAATTGTCATAGGGACACCAGTGAAAAAATAATAAACAGGTTTTTATCCTTCTACGCTCTAACCAACACTGAAAAATATATTTAGACTGGAGTGCTACTTAAAAGGTATCTATGGGCAACAACTAAAAATGTATCTGTATTTCTATGTTGAATTTCCATAAGTTCTATCACACGCCTAATAGCCATATCCATCTAAACCTTTGTAAACTTACTTACCATCCAAACTACAACTCAACGACTAAACTTTCCACAATGTAACATTATCATTGCTTGCTGGAAGCAATGCATGATGGGACATTTAGTCTTGAGAAATCAAGATTGCATCCCATCAAGCAGCAAGGAAGAAGACGCAAAGCACACTGGGAATCCAGGAAGTTGATGTAAGTGATGGGCAGACGGAAGGCTGCACTCAGTACATAAAGGGGATTTTTTCAAATAAGCTTTGATTGTATTATCAGAAACAACTCTAGTATGTACTCCTATCACAATGCTGATGTTATAACAGGAGAGTACAGTATATGCTGGGACTTTACAATTCTTTTCAAAAATAGTTAAGCATAATCCCATATAACACCAACACAAGCTAAAGTACTGTGAGTGGGCTGTATTGTGCTTCTTACCTCCGAATCGAACATGGAATTAATACATTAGCAATCGCAGAGATGTTTTTCTCATCACTCTCTGACAATGAGTTCTTGCAGAGAGCAATGATGTATTTTACAGGAGAGCTGCAGCATCAATAAAATAAAATGCTTAAAACCTACTCCTGAGCTGGTATCACGGCATCTTGAAAAGTGCGATCAACATTAAAATGCCTTCTGAGCTGTTTTTGTATGAATAGCTGTTTCAATAATTGTTTTTACGTAAGGAACAAAGGCCGTTCCTCGCAGTCTCAATATTTCTGTTTTGTGGTTTTATTTAAGGATTTTTTTTTCTTTCTTTGCTTTAAAATTTAGACTTGAACAGACTGATAAGAGTGAAACACCAGAGAATTTCTGAGTGCTTCCTGCCATGTATTTAACCGAGATGGAGGAAGCATAAATATTATACGGAATCTTTGGGATTTTTTTATGCTTTTTTGTTAATATAAAAGGCGGTCATTAGTCGCATTGCATACTTCTCAACACCATTTACAGTAATTAAACATGTATGCCAGACAGGGTAAAAACCCATTTAATGCAGTTAAAAAGACCATGTTAGGTCTCTGAATGACCACCAGGTCCATGCAAAGCCATTGTAGGCTCACCTCTGCAGGAGCCCGTTCCTCCCAACTCCCAGTACCCGAAAGCATTTTAAACTTCCCAAAAATAAACCATAGACTTATGCTGTACAAATGTAGTATCTCAGAGAGCTATAAAAGAGTTACTGTTCTATACCAACCTAAAATGTTTGTAGTATCAAGATCCACTGGGAAGGCTGGATTGCCTAAGAGAGGGGTGGGTGGACTTGGGACCGATGATAAAGAGAATGATCAGGGTATCTAGTGCCAGTGCAGTATTTTGTTCATCGATGGGTCAAGCAGGTATTATCACCCCCGGTTTATTGTAACGGATTGCCATTTAAAGGAAGAAAAGGAACTTAGATTTGAGGTTTCTGTCACAATACCGTGCACGGGTGTCCCAACACCGCGTGCAAGTATTTATACAAGTGAACCAAATACGTGACCACACTTCAGATACCAAAACAATTCCTGTAAACTATAGCTTATTAGATACACCAAAAACAACACAACCACAAGCAACCCCACCAACACCCGCACATATCATATAAGAGCCTAACTATATACAAAAAACAAATCACACACCGGAGATAACAGGGCTGGCTATAACCTGGGGAGCAGGGCAACAAGATGTCTGTGAAGGTTCTCATTCATCCAGGTCAATTCAGAATTGAGAAAGCTGGTCGGATGACCAGTGAAACGTCTTCAAGAAAAATACAGTTGCCTTGACTTATTTTTTACAGATAGGGCAACAAGAGAAGAGCCAGGAGCCACAGATCAGGAGACGGCAGGGGTAAGAGTCAGGAGTCAGGGTCCAAGGCAGGAACAAAGGTAGGAACAGGATCCAGGATACAGGTAGGGATATGGAAACAATACTGAGGCCCGGGCCTCATTGCCAGGACAGGAGAAAATCCCTTCCCAGACCAGCACCAGGTGGTGATTAATTGCTGATTGCTGCGAGACACCTGCAGGAGCTGGTTTCAGCGCCACAGTGCCACCTGGAGGTGCTCTGGTCCCTGACAGTTTCCTTTTGAGGAAGGGATATGTTTAAAGTCCCGTGTTTAGCGAGATTAACTGTAAAGTTCGTCAAAATGTTAGAATTCTTTCAGAATCAAGGTTAGGCTGATTCTTGGAGCCCTTTCATACCTTATCCTCTAATTTCCATTTTTCTTGACAACTTATTCCTTCTAACTAAACATATACACTAATTCTTCTTGATTCTTGGAGCAGTAACATAGAGCAGAAGATCATCAGCATAGAGGGCCAATTTATACTTCCTCTGAACTACGTGAAATCCTTATCTCCTGGATTCTGACATAAGGAATTGACGAGATCTTCCATAGTAATTATGCAGAGGATGGGGGATAACGAGCATAACTGTCTAGGGCAATAAGTTATAAAGTATGGGTCAGAAATGATTCCGTTAGGCCTAATTCTTTAGGGAGAAGAATACAAACCAGTAACAGGTACTCTTTAAGA